TCTAGCGAGGTTTAATTCTAAGGAAGCCTGAATGAAACAAATGAAAGTAATTAGAGATGAAAACACATTCACACGTTAATCAAATGTTTAAGGGGTTTTTTTTCTCCCTTGCAAATCTTGGTTTGTTGGATAGTTATCACAGTAGTATGATAACCTTCTTTTTGTTTAGATTTTTTTTTTTGTTAACAACAAACTTGTCTTTTCTATAACATACATTTTTTGATTAATTGTGATGTTGGTAGTAGTACACTTTGGTTATGGCTCCATGTCTATTTCAGAGAGCATAGGAATTTGCTGCTTGAAAGACCTTAAAAATTGATGCATTAGGAGGTGAGATTGAACTGAGCACAGACTAGTAAAGATTCCTCTTGTGTACACGTGTGTGTTTACATGCTTTTTAGTTGATTTCTAATGTAATCCATGTCATTTAACCACAGAAACACTTACCCTTGTGATTATTATGAAAGTACATCCTTGTGCCACTGTGAATTAGGTGGCTTTTTAACTGTTTTTTAAAAATACATAAAATGATGTAAAAATGTTATAGTGGCTTTGTTTTGGGTTTTCTTGTTGTGGGTTGGTTGGTTTGTTTTTAATGGAAACATATTTTATTCTAGACTTTAGATGTGCACAGGTTTCACCTATAAACTGTATGTGAGAGAACCAAAATGATGAGTTTGGTACAGAACAAATCAGATTTCATTAAAAATAATTCTAATGCATTATGAATTAATATTTGCTTTCGAAGAGAGAGTCACAGTCACATATTAGGTTTATCTTTTTATAGATAAAACTTAAGGAACCTTATGTAGTATGAGTAAAGCCATTATGTATAACTGTGGGGGGTTGACCTGGCTGGCTGCCAGGCACCCACCAAGCCATTCTCTGAGTCCTCCTCCTCAGTAGGAGAGGGAAGAAAAGTAAGATTAAAAAGTTTAAGATAGGGACATGGAGGTCACTCACCAATTACCATCATGGGCAAAATATACTCGACATGGGGGAAGATTAAGTTATTGCCTATTAATGACAGAGTAGGATAGTGAGAAATAAAATTAAAAATATCTTCCCTCCCCACCTCCCCTTCTTCCCAGGCTCAACTTCACTCCTTCATTTGTGACTCTTTTTATCTCCACCCCCCCAAAGCCACACAGGGAGATGGGGAATGAGAGCTGCGATCAGTTCGTAACACTTTGTCTCTGCTGCTCCTTCCTCCTCATGCTGTTCCCCTGCTGCAATGTGAGGTCCCTCCCACAGGATACAGCCCTGGATGAACTGCTCCAGTGTGGGTCTTTCCCATGGGCTGCAGTTCTTCAAGACCTGCTCCAGATTTGGTCCTTTTCTCAGCTTACAGTCTTTCAGGAATGGGCTACTCCAGCACCGGTCCCTCATGGGCCACAGTTCCTGCCAGAAAACCTACTCCTGCCTGAGCTCTCCATGGGCTGCAACTTCTTTTAGGGCATGTCCATCTGCTTTGGCGTGGGATCTTCCTCGGACAGTAGTGTGGAACACAGTGGTGTTCCTTTACAGGCTGCAGGGAGACAACGTGTGTTATCATGGTCTTCTCCATAGGTGGAAGGGGAGTCTCTGCTCTGGTGCCTAGAGACCCTCCTCCCCCTCCTTCACTGATCTTGGTGTCTGTGGGGCTCTTTCTGTCATGTTTTTCTTACATCTCTCCCTCACAGCTGCCATGTAGTGGTTTTTATCCTTTCTTAAATATGCTGTCACAGAGGTACCACCGGTACCACTGATGGGTTCAGCTTTGACCAGTGGCGGGTCTGTTTTAGAGCCAGCTGAAACTGGCTCTATCTGACATGGGGGCAGGACTCTTATCTCACAGAAGCCACCTCAGCAGGCTCCCCGCTGCCAACGTCTTGCCACATAAGCCTAATACAATAATTCAGAGTTACTAACAATGGTCTACTTTCTTTTTGTCTATTTACACACTGCAGAATAAAGCATGTAAGCCTCAAACATAAAATTAGAGAACATACATGAAACAAGATTGTGCTTGGTCTTGCTCTTGTGATTATTTGTTTGCTTCAGGTCTTTTGATACTTATTTTATTATATGGTGTTTATAATTTTTATTGCTAGCTTTTTAGTCCTTATGTTTCATATTTTCCATGCATTTATTCTCACTCTGGTACTTAATGATAGGAAACATAGTTTTAGTTATATATCCTAACTGAAAAGGTAGAGTGTGGAATAGTTGGCAGACAAAAGAAATTACAGTGCACAGGACAAGACAGTTAACAAGGTAAAACATACATACTCATTTGAATGTGGCTTCTCCTAAAGCAGGTGGGTTACTGCTCGTCTGAGAATTGCAGCTGTAGTCTTTGAAAGGTATCTGCCTTTATTCCGGAGTCTTGTATCAGCTTCTGATATAGATTGGGGAGAATATTAACTTCCATGTCCTTTTAGCGGTTTATGTATATATATACGTACACACACAGACATATGCATATATATATGATCTGTTCTTATTCATTTAAGCTTTGGGAATATGTGAGACTTGGTCCCTGGAGAACCTTAGAGGTTCCATAGTAATACTCTGCAATTCATTGAGGCTGAGAGGGTGGGTATAAAGAGTAATATATACTTAATAAGTGGAAGTGACCCTGGGAATATTCTCTACCAGCAGTCACCAGAAAGATACTGAAGGAAAAAAAAATTGTTACAGCCTTTTTGACTTTGTATTTCCATGTGTTTCTCTGATCTCATGGATTTTTTTTCTCAATAGATTCGAGCTGCCAATCTCAGTGGAGACTGTACACTGATGAATGAAATAGCCAGGTTTAAATTTGGATTAAAAGGACACCATCAGGTAAAGACTGTAGATGTTACAGTATACCTATTTGTTATGAGCCATCTTTACATAGTGGATCTCAGCCTTCTCCACTTTCGTAGCTGAAAACATCAGAGAAAGAAGTAGATGCCATGGACTTGCTGCTTTCTCTCAATTAACCTTTAATGATTCATCATAATTTTTTTTCCACTTTGTTATTTTTGTTGGAGTGAAATTCCTGAGTATTTAGTCATATTGTAGAGCATTACCACTGACAATGGATGGTTAATAAGAACCAAACAAAAAACAGTTTGAAGGAAATGTAGTGGGAATGCCTTACCCACTATGGGTGGGTAAAACTCTAAAAAGTCTTTTAAAAGTGGAGGAAGGATAATGACAAGGGTTCTAAATAACCATATGTGTTAAGTCTTATAGGAATTAAATTTTTTAAATAGTAATGATAGAACTATAGAATGGTTTGGGTTGGAAGGGACCTTGAAGATCATCTGATTCCACAGGTTGAACCCCAAGTACTTGTTCATGTTAGAGTGGCAGGTAGCTTGTAGCTGGGGATATTTACATCTGTTTTTATCTTTTAGTAGACAAACTGTGTAAGCAAAAGTTGCCATAATGAGAGGTATCAAAATGAAGGCCAGTGGAGGAGTCATTCCTTATGTTTTATAGCATTTCAGTTGGAAAAGTACTAACTGGTATTTATGTCTGTTTCTTTCTGACATATTTTCTCTAATGTCCCAGTCAAGCTGTACAAATACTTGATACCTACAACAAATGCCAAATTGCATTTTAATTACTGTACTAAGGAATGTCTTTTACTTATCTGATGGTTTATTTGCACATGGAAAACTAAAACACATAGTTAACACAGGATGGAACAGAAATGTACTTGAATGCTTATTGCAGGCATTGACTCTTCTGTGATACAAAATTATTGTGTATGTAGGAGGAGTTAATACTTGACAAAATCTGTAAAAATATATTTGTACCAATAATGACAGTGTGTTCTTTGTCTTCTTTCCACTTTAGACTTGTGTACGAGACAGAGCAATTCGTTCCATTCTGGCTGTTAGAAAAGTTAGCAAAGAAACGGCAGAAAAAGCTGTGGATGAAGTTTTTGATGCCTGTTTCAATGATCTGGAACCTTTTGGAAGAATCCCGCACAGTAAAACGGATGCAAGACGTGCTTACAGAGACTTTCAGAACAGAGATCGCTATAATGCTAATTTGTAAAGGAAAAGAATGTGAAAAATTACATTAATACATGATTGTTCTGTAACATCTGAAGTTACAGCCTATGCACACAGTGCTGATGGAAAAGGCAATTCTATCAAATATATAAATTAATTTTGTAAACTTTTCCAAGAGCCAACTTCCATGGAAGTGAACAAAGTAAATGAAGAAGACTAAAACCCATGTTTCCTCACATGTTATTCCAGCAAGATAATTTAGTACACCAAATGACTTGTCAAATAATGATCTGCACATTTCAGTGCAGATTTAATTCTGCTCAGTGTGACCAGGACTTGGTTTCTGAAAGTTTTGTTGTTATTGAATAAATCTTTTCATAAAATATTTACATTTCCACCATCTTTGATACACAATCATAAGCATGATAATCTTCATCACTCCATTTTAAAAGATGGGCACCTGAACTACAGCTCTTGGATCTAGATTTAATAACTATGGCAAAACCCAGAAGTTAAGAAAGTACCACATTTGTTTTTGAGCACCTCCTGAAATTCCTGGAGTTCCAGCTCATCTAATGTTAACTTTACAGGTACAGAAAACACTTTGGCTTTTTAAGAATTTGACTGACAGTTCTGCTTACCAGATCAAACCTACAAGCTGGATAAGTATTGATGAGAGTCTGTCCAAGAGATTGAGCTTTACTCACAATGTTGGTGTAGCTTATGGTCTTCCTATACTTGTTAGGTGGGTAAGTCCATCTGAGGAAAGCAAGAAGCTGCTAGCTTTACACAGAGCCTGAGAGAAGCTGTCTCATTCCTTCATTATTTCCAAATATAAGGTGTTGTTAATGGATGCAAGAGAACCACGTTTTCTTCTCTTCCTTGAAATTAAAGATGCGATTCAACCGCTAGTATGGTTCACTGACGTAATGGAGATGTAGGTCCCTAGTCAAAGGTTTGTAGGCATAGGTGCTGTAACAGTTACTGGATCCAGACTCAAGTGGGAAATTCAGTTCAACAAAAGATGACATGGTGCCCTGATTGTTACTGTTTCATACAGAGTGCAAAACATTTTAGACAGCCTTTCAACTTCATAGGATGTCAAGGTCTGAGTGGTGGTGGTGTCAATTTTCCTGTGTGAAGTCATTCACAACTGCGGAAGCATAGAATTGCTGAGGTTGGAAGGGATGTCTGGACACAATGCTGTTTCAACTGCACTGCACAGAGCAGGGTCAACTAAAGCATGTTGCTGAGGAATGTGTCTAATTGGGTTTTTAGTGTCTCCGAGGATGGAGACTGTAGCCGGCCAGTGGAGTTTTCTGTTGTCAGAGCGAGGGGGTCTTTTCAGTCAGCACGCAAAGTTCTTGGACACCACCCAGACGAGCCAATTATGATGAAAGTGTAAGCCATTTATTGTGTGTTGCGCACCTGCTTTTATACAGAGCTCTTTCAGATTTGGCAGCTACTGATTGGATACAATAATTCAAAATTCTTAATAACAAAATCACTATTGGCTACTTTCAAACCTGGGAACGTAACCTTCGAAGCTATGTCAACACAACCTCTAAAATAACTTAGTTGTGCTAATAAATTTATTTCAGTTCCTCCTTATCTTCCTCACGTCCTGTATAATTAGATACCTTTGCGCATCTGGTCATTTTTCTTCTTTCCCAGGATCCTCTATCAGCCTTATAATAACAAAGTCTAAAGTTAGTATCATAGTTAAAATTCTACTTCAGCATAAAATGCCCCTACAGGAGACACTACAGCCTCTCGGGATAGCCTGTTCAAGTGTTTGATCACTCTTGCAGGTTTATTTGGGTTTTTTTCCTCCTTGTGTGTAAATGGAGTTTCGTGTATTTCACTTTGTGCTAGTTTCCTCTTGTCCTTTTCCTTGGGCACTACTGAGAAGACTCTGGCTCAGTCTTCTCTACTTCCACTC